GCTTTGGCATTACCATGCCAATAGGCGAGAGATCTATTACTATCATCTTATAGTATGAGCGTAACACTCATAAGTCTTACCGCATATAATCAATGCCCATTCTTGACAATGCTATGACTTAGGACATTTAATAATATCATTTAAATACATTAATATTCATCTCATATCCATTGATTAATCATTAATGCAATGCATATCATATGGACTTTTATCTAATTCTATCAAATTGTAAACAACGAGAATTACTTGAAAGACTTCTTTTATTAATATATAAAAATACAACATTACAAAAATCAAATCATCCAAACAAGGTTAAATCTTGGGTACCTACTCTAAAAATATATATATAGAGAGGGAGAGAGAGACGCATAAGAGAATAACAACAATTGATCTAAGAGTTAGATAAAAAATGTGTGTCTCTTCCCAAAAGGCAAAAGTTGCTACAACCTTCTCACTCAAATTTATGCCAACCTTTATGAGATTTCTTTGAAAGAAAAATTGCACATAGCATAAAAGATTAGAGCTAGCACTCTATGATTTTTACGAGCTTCTTGTATGGTCTTTAAGCTACGGGGATCACGGTAGAGACTAGACACTTGGACATTTCTTTTCGCGAATTAGTTTTTATACTACAATAGATAACTCCTAATTATCTTGTTGTTAATATAGTTAGTTAATTCAATGACTGATCTTGAGAAATTTAGATGGAGGAGAACAAAATTTTTTGTTTATTCCCTATTTCTATAGGATCCATGATCCTTTAATAACAACTTCGTGGTATAAATACAAAAGAGATGTCATGGTTTATCTTACATTTAATGACAAATTATGCTCTCATTCTATTGCAATTTGACAATTTCGAGCTCTTAGTACAAACTCATATAATTTGAACCCTAAACTATTGCTTTTTAGGCAAAATTGACCCAATTTCTCTAATTGTCGTTATATGTAACGATCAATTGGGTTGATCGATTAATTGAAATGATAAAACGACATCATTTTGGTATTCCACTGTTAATTATTTAAAAAAAAAATTTAAAAATATTTTTAATCCCCATAATCTTTAACTTTTTTAAAAAACAATTTCATATAAAATATTATAAACATTTTATAAATATTTTTTACCCTCTCTTGTTTTGAACTTTTTTTAATAAAATATTATAAAGATTTTATAAAAAATGTATTGTTTCATAATTTATAATTTATAAAATTAGGAGGGTCAATCTTAATTATGCTCATTTTAATTTATAAAATATTTTAATTTATATTATAAAAATTTTATAAAAAAAAGTTGTAAGAAAACATAATAAATAATACACAATTTCAAGCCTTTTAAAAAATATTTTATAAATTAAAATAATCATAGTTAAGGGTTGAGCCCCCTAATTTCATAAATTATAAATATTTTTTTAGAAAATTTTTATAATATTTATAAAATGTTTTTTAAAAAATTTCAAAATTAAGGGGTTTAAAATGTTTATAAAATGCTTTTTTTTTTTATAATATAATTGATAAAATTTTATAAGAATTTTTTTTTTAAATTCAAGATTAAGGAGGTTAAAAATATTTTTATAAAAAGAATATAATTAATAAGGAAATGCCAAAACGATTTCATTTTGGCATACCAACTCCTAATGGCAATATGAAAAATTTGATTAATTTTTCTAAAAAAAAATAGTTTGGACGTTCAAATTATGTAATTTAATACTAAAGAACTAAAATTACCAAATCATAATAGAATGGGGACAAAATTTGTCGTTAAGCCATTTATATTATATACAAACTAAGTATATGTTAATAGTTTGGCCAATAAATATGAGCAAATTATAAACTAGTCCCTTTAGTTTCAAAAAGAGAATTGATTAGTTTTTTTATTTTCAAAAACTATTATTTAATCTTATAGTGAGGATTGATCATGTTTAATTTAATATTATTTTTATTCCATAAAATATTTTTTTCTTAACAATCTTTCAATATTTTCTTCTTTTTCTATTTCTTAAAACAAAAAAATTAAAATAAATTAAAAAAGAACAAAAAGAATTAAGTTATATGTAGATTTAAAAACACGAGGACTAAATAATTAGTTTTTAGAATAAATAAGACTAATTAATTCATTTTTAAAAATAAGAGAGACTAATTTATAATTTAGTCCTATAAGCACAAATCAAATGAAAAATGTTCAAAGCTCTTTATTGACTACCATCCATGGTTGTGCATCCAATTTATTGTTGATTTAAAAATTTATTGAAATTATCCAATAAAGATAGGGTTTACCTTACAATTGGTCCTTGTACAATTTCATTTTTTTTATTGAGATCCTTTATTATTTTTCGAGTTTGATTGAAACCCTTCACTTTTACAAATTTTTTGATTGAGACCCTCCTTTAATTATGAATCGACGTGACACTTTAAAAATGATGGTAGCCAATGAAGAATTGATACGTGAAAATATGGACACTAATTGTGAGATTATAATTCTGAAACAAAAAATTTATAAATTTTTAAAAAACTATATATTAACAAATTTTTAGTTTATAAAAATAAAAATAAAAGAACCGAATAGCCCTAACATATTATATCACACAACTCTTCTATTCTTCTCTATTTTTATGTTGTTTTAGAATTATACTACCTAACTCTTCTCTTCTTCTCTATTGTTTTGACAATCTCAATTGCCTTGATTCTCTCTCTCTCTCTCTCTCTGTCTCTATTCAAAATCCCTAAATCACAACTCTTCTCTTCTTCTCTATTGTTCGGTAATCTCAATTGTCCCGATTCTCTCATTTTTTTTGTTTCAAAATCCCTAAATACCTAAATCTCTTACTCTTTAAGTCCCTTAATAACCCTAACTCCCATTAATCCAATTTGTTGTTGAATCCTTAAATCTCAAAATCTCAACTTCTTTGCTCTCAAAGAGTTCCCTTGCTCCTACTCGGCGTGCTCTCTTGAACTCTCACATTGGCAAGACCATTTGCCTTATGGATCCCGTGTCTAGTCTAAGAAAGAATGGGTTTTGCTTAAAATTTCTGTGATGAAGTTGTTAGTACTTTTGAAGGCAACTCTAATATCTTTTAAGGCTGAAAGGTTTGGTAAATAGTTCCTTGAAATGAATGATTTGTGGGTTAAACAATATAGGCTTAGTCATATAGGGATTTTTAAAGATATGGGGATGATTGTTCTTGTTATTTAGGTTAATACATTAATAAAAATGAACAAATATGTTTTTTTTGTGTTGGTTGTGCTTCAACGAGCAATTCCTCTACTTGCTTTGTCTGCTTATTGCACTTCTACTGGTATTCCTTTTGTTTTTTCTTACGCTTGCTAATAAGATTTCTATAGCTCAACTCGTGCAGTCCATTGCCAATGGGGCTTTTGTTTTGAGTATTGATACTAATTTTGATAGTTGTATGTAGTTGATAAGAGAGGTTATGTTTGAGTTGCCTATTTTTTTAGCCAATTCGCTTAATAGCTTGAGATTAGAAAGGTAAAAAATTGCATCCATTGAGATTTTATAGTAGACAATGTACGTTGATAAATTTGAGCATATGTTTGTTTGTTTTTTTTTTTTCATTTAATTTAAGATTAAATAGGTTGGGTTAATTAGGTCTTTTCCCTTTTTTAATATTTAACTAACGTTGTTTAATTTACAAAATTATTTAAAAAAATTTTATATTTTGGTTTTGATTTATACTTGAAACAATTAGGGTCCACATTGCCATTTGTTATTGTCTAATTGATTACTATTAATTTTAACTTACCACATAGGATGAATAGTTAAATGACGTTATAACGAAGGGTTTAAATCAACAAATTTGTAAGAGTAGAAGGTTTCAATCAAGTTGAAAAATAATGTAGGGTCTCAATCAAGAAAATTAAAATTAACGGGGATCAATTATGGGATAAACCCAATAAAGATATAAGGGAAAAGAAGAGAAGAAAGAATGAGATGACACAAATTAAAACATATTAAATAGAAAAAGGTGTGGGCCCATCCCAATGAAACATGTGGTTGTGTAATTTTTTAGGGCTATTTCATAAGAAAAGAAAAAATGATTTTTTTATATAGGTTTTTTTTTTCATATTTGAACTCTAGACTCTTTGAATTTATTTTTATTGAGACATTTTTTTTTAGTTTAATTGAAACTTTTTATTTTTTGACATTTCTTGATTCAAACCTTTAGTTATAATGTCACTAATCAAGGATCGATATGTGACATTATAGAGTAAAAAATCTTGAAAAGTAAAAGTGATTTATCGATCACTAATTGATATCGCTATAACAAAAAAGTTTAAAATAAAAAAATCTCGAAAAGTACAATATATATATTAAAAAAATTCGAAAAGTACAGAGTCCAAATATGAGAATTGTTTTTTTTTTTTTTTTTTTTTTTTTTTTTTTTTTTTTTTTTTGTAACTTTCATGAGTTAGATTAGTGATATCTGAAATTAAAACTACAATATGAATTTAATATAATCGAAAAATTTATTGGGTTAAATTTAATAGATGTGAATTTCTTGATGCTAGAGATAATGATAATTTCTTTTGTATTTTGAACCTTTATGATTGTTCTAGTATTCTCTTTATACTCAAAACTCAAATTCATTGATCAATCATTTCTTAAGTGAAAAAATTATGTATAAGTAACAATATTTTGATGCAAACTTTGATATTCCTCATATAAAATTGGCAATCATTTCAAAGATAAAGAATAACTGAAAATGTCCGTAACTTTTTTCTTTTTGTCGTAAAATGTCCAAACTTTAGAAACCCAATTAAAGAAATACATTTTGTTTAGGACTTTGTTTTAAATTATTATATAATTAAGGGACTAACTTTGTTGTTTTCACAAAAACAGATAAAAAACACAAACCACCCAAATCCCCTCTAAAACCCTAAAAAGTAGAAAACACTGCTTACTCTCTTCTTAGCACACACAATTCCCAAATCTCTGACTCCTCAAAAACCCTAACTTCACACTGTTGAAATTTCACAGTGTACAAATGAGACACTCATGGAGAATTCTTCTCTACCGAAACTACCCTCAATCATCTCGCAAATTTTCCAATCATTTCCAGGTACTGCAGAAACACTCTCCTTGTCTGCTTCGCTCTCTGTCTTCCTCACTTCACACACTTCCACTACAAAACTCTCATTTCTCCAAAACCCCGCAAAAATCGAATATCTATAAGAAAACCCCATTTATTGTTCGTGATTTTTCATCTGAAGCATCATTAGTTAAGCCCAAAAAAGACCCAGATCATCTTTTGCTTATCTGTTATGTTTTTGCCAAGTTTGATGATTTTGATAATATTGGTAAAGAATTGGAATCAAATGAAGTTGTTATTAGTCACGATCTGGTTTTGAAAGTTCTGAAGTCATTGGGATCGAAACCAGATGTGGCTAAGAAGTTTTTTTATTATGTTTTGGAGAAGAATAGTGAGAGATTGAGCTCTAAAAGTTATAACTGGATGTTAGGGATTTTGGGGGTCAATGGGTTGGTTGCGGAATTTTGGGATTTAATTGATAAAATGAAGATAAAGGGTTATGGGGTGTCAGGGATTACGCGTGACAGAGTGTGGGAGAAGTTTGAGAAAGAGGGGTTAAAGGATGATTTAGAGAAGTTAAAAGGGGTTTTTGCGAAAGGATCGGTGGATAATTCAGTGGAAAAGATTGGGTTGAGAGTGAGTAGGATTGTTAGGAATAAGGTTTGGGGAGAGGATGTTGAAGGGGAGATTAAGGATTTGAGTGCAGAGTTTTCAAGTGATTTGGTGAAGATTGTGTTGGAGCATTTGGCAATGGAGCCAATGAAGGCTTTGATATTTTTTAGGTGGGTTGAGGAGAGTGGGTTGTGTAGACATGATGAGAGGAGTTATAATGCGATGGCTAGGGTTTTAGGAAGGGAGGATTACATTGACAGGTTTTGGAAGGTTATAGATGAAATGAGGAGTAACGGATTTGAAATGGAGATGAGGACATTCGATACTGTTTTGGCACGATTTATGAGTAGGAAAATGATTAAGGATGCCATAGGCTTATACGAGTTTGCAATGAATGGTGCAAATAAGCCTTCAGCTAAATGTTGCACCTATTTGTTGAGGAAAATAGTGGTGGGTAAACAGTTGGATATGGGTTTGTTTTCAAGAGTTGTGAAGGTCTTTACTGGAAATGGGAATGTTTTGACAGATTCTATGCTTGATGCAGCTCTTAAAGCTCTAACAAGTGTTGGAAGATTTGGAGAGTGCAATAAGGTTTTAAGAGAAATGAAGGTAGCTGGCTTTGTAGCTAGTGGTAATTTGCAGAGAAAGATTGCTTTTGGGCTCACTAGTGCTGGTAAGAATGATGAAGCAAATGAATTTTTGGATCATATGGAATCATCTGGTAGTGACTTGGATTACAAGGCTTGGGCATGTTTAATTGAAGGGCATTGTGTATCGGGGAATCTTGAAAAAGCATCTGATTGTTTCAGAAAAATGGTTGAGAAGAAGGGAGTTTCTGGTGCTGGTTATGCTGTTGAGTTGTTGGTAAATGCATATTGCTGCAAGAACAGAGCGATGGATGCATGCAATCTTCTGCGTGATTATGTGTGTCAAAATCAGTTATGCCCTTGGCATACTACATACAAATTATTGATAAGCAAGTTGCTAGTTCAGGGTGGATTTAAGGATGCCTTAAATCTGTTGGGTTTGATGCAAAGTCATGGCTTTCCACCCTATATAGATCCTTTTATTGAGTTTGTATCAAAGTCTGGAACAGGTGATGATGCCATTGCTTTTATGAATGCCATGACCACCAAGAAGTTTCCATCTACATCTGTTGCTCTTCGTATGTTTGAAGCATATTTCAAGGCCAAAAGGCATGGCGAAGCACAAGATTTCCTGTCTAAATGCCCAATTTACATTCGGAACCATGCTGATGTTTTGAATCTCTTCTGTTCCATGAAGTCAAGTGAAGATACTACTGCTGCAACTGTACCTGTGTAGGCTTTTGTCGGAGTTTATGATGTAGTGAGTTCTGTGACGTCAATGTAGGATGGCATTGTTTAAAAAATTTTGGTACGAATGTGTTCTATACTGCTTGAAACCTTTTCCCTTTGGTCTATGATCAACTTTGTCTAGTGGAAAATAAGATTTACTGATTCATGTTTCTGAAGTATTTATTGCCTCTTCTTACCCTGCTGTTTTGTTTCATGCTTGTATATAGCATGAACTGCACTGTGCATCTGAAGTTATGGTCAAGTAGTTTGGTTTCTAAATTTTACTTGCACTTGAACCACTGCGTAAGTTTTAGTTGTGCTAATGAAAGATGTAAATTTGTTTAGTTCATCCTTGTTATGCATCTAATGTTATGGTATCTATTTTTAGTTTTCTTGAACTTTGTTAAATAACTTTGCTGTCAGCCTTGATGCTGCAAATTGTAAGTTCCCCAAAAACAGAGCTTCCTTGATTTTTTAGCAATGACCTGATGGTATTTTTGTCTGTCTTGTGGTAAGCTAAGTAAGTTGTATATTATCTTGAATAATTTTGTTTCTATATTTCTTCTTGTTTGATTGATGCTCATAATGGCTTAAAGCTTTAAATATATTGTAGTTCACCTGCAAGTTTCTCGACAATTATGAGGTTGTTAATATCCAAATATAATTGAGGTTGGTTGACTATGAAAGCTATTTCTTGATAGAGCATCCTTTAGGAGTGAAATTGATTCATCCCAGACATTGTAAGAAGAGTATTTAATGAGGTAAATATTTGTCCAGTTTAATAGTGTCAAACCCACTATTTGTCTTGAAACCCAATATTATAAGTGGCTTTTTGACGTTTCCAGCCTTTCTATATTAATGGTTGCCAGAGAAATGGTGGTGAATTCTCTCTCTTCTGTCTGACCTATTTTGAAGCAGCAGCAGTAGATAAGTGCCCATCTGACTTATTATGGAAGATTGAATTCTATCTCTTCTATCTTGATGGTTACATGATTAATTTGTTGTCGAGTGAAGTGTTATTTGGTTAAGATTTATGTAAATTGTTTCACACTGTTTAGATTAGACATACATTCTGGTCTCACTGATTGGTTTCCCTAATACTGATTTCCCCTCATCCAGAATCCTCTGGGTAAGCAACTGTCCGGTTTCCTGCTGGTAGTGTGCCGGTTCCCCTCGCCTCCTTTCTGACTGTTCTCCATAGATATTCACCTGATCGTGCCGATCTTCTATTATTACTGTTGCTTGCATTGAAAGGTTCGATTCCTATATGGTCTGAGCTATTTCGCTATTAATCATTGTAACCTGTCACTGTTCACTACTCCTTAGCTCCCTTGTCCTGTGACCCGTGTAACATGTTAGCTGTGGAGGACAAAGTGCCTTCCTACTGTATTTTCTTTATTTCAAACAAAGTAAGTTGGACTTAATGGTCGGAAAAGATTGGTTTGTCCAGTTCTACTAGCTGCAATTGCAGCCTACAATTTATGCTGTGTCCGGTTTATGCAAAGGTTGGACACGACTTGACTAAGACTTAGTAATATCCTCTCCCTTTGTTTTCTAAAATATTCAAGCAATTAGCACATCTCATAACACAAAGTATTCCTGAGGGATTTAGTTCTGGGGTTGACGTAATGGCAATACTGACAGTGTCTGTTGAGAGGGACTTTTATATGATGTCTATCTATAGTCAGTCAAGATTGTGTTTCCCAAGTTGGATCAAATTTAATTCCAAAGTCAAAGTATGTATGAAAAGGTCAGGCAAGTGAAGAATGTGTTGCTCTCATAGGCAAGCGGGAAATGAATTTTCACTCTTGCTGTTATTAAACTGACTAGCATAAAGAAAAATTCTATACCTGGGATTGGTGTCAGGTACAATACTGCTTGTCTGCTTCTTAGGTTGTATTTGTTTGGGGAAAATTAAGTTTTAGTAATTTGTTTTCTTTATTTTTTCTCATTTTCTTATGTTTGTTTCGTGTTTAGGAAAAAAGTGAATGGAAAGTCATTTTTAGTCAACAGAAAATAATATAGTATTTTTGAAAAAGTGCTTTTTTGAGTTAAAAAAGAGAAAAATATTTTCACTCTTTCTCACGAGTTGTCTCGCTTTCGCATTACTCATCTATCTATTGATATATTTTAACAATTTTTTTCTTTATCTCATATTTATTTAAAATATATCAAATTAATTTTTAATTATTTCTTATCAATTCTTATCAATTATTTATTTATTTGTTATCAATTCTTATCAATTATTTAATTATTCTTTCACTATTTCTATTAACATTTGATTTTTTGATTTATAAATACATTAAATATTCTTAAAAACCATTTTTATATCTTAAAATTATTTTATAACAAATATTTCAATAATTTATCTCTATTTTTTTTTTAAACTATTATCTCAAATACCACCTAAACTATATTTAAATGATTGGAAATGACTATTACAATATTGCAATCACTTCTGAAAAATTTAAAATTAATTAATTCATTAATAAATACATTATTTTTTTCAATACTATTAATTTATAACTAAATTAATAATTTGTGATTAATTTTAATCGAGTTTAAAAATTTTGTTTGTTATTATAGTCAATAATTAGTTAAAAATTATTCCAACATTAATCTTTTGAAACTAAATGAATAATTATCTACAAATGATAATTATTCATTTGGTTTCAAAAGATTAATGATAATCGATAATGTGTAAAACTATTTTTTAGACTAAATGAATAATTATCTACAAATGATAATTATTCATTTGGTTTCAAAATATTAATGATAATCGATAATGTGTAAAACTATTTTTTAGACTAAATTATCAGCTCAATTTTTTTTTTAAAAAAAGAATCTTAATTGAGTTACCAAAATAACGGTGTTATAATTACTTAGAATTTTTTTTTTTACTAAATGTGAATATTGACTTGCTTTTGTCCCAAGTAGTTTTGATGAATTGGTTTGATGGTTAAAAATATATATATATATTTTTTAATTTTTTGAATGTAAATCTTAGAGTCTATTTATAAAAATTTATTAAATTTTTCTAAATGCATCTTATATTGTGAAATTATGAATGTGCCTTGTTGAAGTTTTCTCAAAACTCGTTGATGTAACATTTATAGCTTATTTTTGAATTTCGAGTTTTTGTATCAAACAAAGAAATATATTTTTCAACAGCTTTTTTTATGTAATTGCCAAATTTTAAAAAATAATTTTTTAGAAAACAACTTTATGAAAAATAGCTTCTTCGGAATTGATTTTTCTATTGAAAATTGTTTTTTGCCAAACAAACGGAACCTTATAGGACAAATCAATCGAAATACAATGCTCTAAGTCCTATAGTTGCATGATGGAAGTATTTTGAACAAGAAGAGGTTTTAGATGGTGAAGTAATGAAAAGCTAGAAATTTGAACTTGAATGGATATGGGTAAAGTTGTTCATAGGCAAGGAAAAAATGACATTTACATAGACAAACTTCATTAGAGCTCAATGCTAAGTGCTAACCCTTTTCAAGATACCAACTTTGCTCCCTTAATCTGCTAACAGATGATAAAGATTATATATATGCCAAGTCGGCAAAACATTACAAGGCATAATCTATTTCGATGATTTTCACAATCAAAGTGTAGGCATCTTGCAACTCTGTATATGCTTATGAATCAATGTCAATGTGTTTCAACTTTCATCTTATATTTCATTATGAGATCCATCCAAAAGTATCAAGTAGATTGAAAAGGGTTCCGAGTACATCAAGTTAAAATCAATAACCTAAATATTTGTTTCGAGTAATTTTTTGTTACACATATCCTTGATTTAGTAATTTCGTTATAGATGTGCCATAACAGACTATTGAATATGCAAAAGTCGATGAGATGGCCGACAATCTTGGTTGTAGGTACGGACAAAGTCAAGACTACACATGTTTTACAATTTCCTTGTTTTTTCTATTGCACGTTGTTAATTGTAGCAAATTAGGAATGCGGATGGTTAGTTGTAGAAATTTAGGATGATCTGCGGAGTTAGTGGCTTAATAGGCGATAGTTTGCTCTCAATTTTTGTATTTAAACAATTGTTTAGTTCACTAATAGATATTCGGAATTGCGACCTATCCTTGAGTTTTTTCTTCTTACGTTTTCCGTAAAAATTTTCTAGTTATCTTTGTAAGTACAGTTTAACAATTTGTATCGGAGCTATATTTTTCTTAAGGGACTCGTGAGAATTGAGGGTAAACAAGACTTAGAAACCAAACCAAATCGTTACACGAAACCTTTAAGCCACAATGGATTTTGAGACACCTTTTACGAGCAATTGCTCCTCTAGTGTTATAAGGAGAAATTTTTTAGATATGGACGAGTTTCAATGGAGACTTACCTTGATGCAAGTGATCTTTAGGAAGGTCTGTGGAGAAGGAATATGAAGTTCTACCTTTTCTAAACAACCCAACTCTTTCTCAAATCGAATCACAAGGAAAGAAGGCAAAGGAAATCAAAAGCAAAGGCTTGCTTATTTTTAGCCGTCTCACCAATAATTTTTACTAGGATTATGACCACGAAGATAGCAAAAGACATGTGAGACTTTCTTAAGCAAGAGTATGAAGGTGATGAGCAAGTCAAAGGGATATAAGTGCTGAATCTAATGAGGGAATTTGAGATATAGAAAACGAAGGAGTCGAAACGAGTAAAAAGTATATTGATAGAATTCTAAGCATTATCAATAGGGTAAGATTGCTTGGAACTACATTTTATGATTCTAAAGTTGTTCAAAAAATTCTTGTGACTATTCTAGAAACGCTTGAGACAATAATTTCCTCTTTGTAAAATTCTAAAGATCCGTCAAGTATTACCTTAGGTAGAATTGTTAAATGCCTTACAAATTCGAAGCAAAGAAGATTCACGAGGCAAGAAGGCTCGGTTAAGGTGCTTTGTAAGCTAAATGGCGAGATAAATAAAAATAGAGAAGGAAAGAAAAAGAAATGAAAGAAAAACTATATTGACCAAGATGTTGCAAATAAT